TAAACAGTGAAAGTTCATGATCATCTTTCCTATCATAATAGTGTACTATTATTTTTTATAACAGAAATACAGAGATGGACATACATGTTTTTATATATATTTATATAAATAAATAAAAAATAATCCCAAACTCAACAATATTTATCTACTTGTTTTGGAGAGAAAAGTAAAAGAAAGAGAAGAAATTTCTAGAGAGAAAAATTTAGAGAGGGAGAGGATTGATGAGAGACAATTTAGAAAGAGGGAAAGGATCGTGACTTCGTGAGTTAGAGAATTTTAGAGAGAGAGAGAGAGAAATAGGGTGAGTGCAATACAGAATAGATGTGTGTTTTGTGTCAGCTAATGTCTATTATGTGATGGGTTGAATATGAATACCCTCAAATTAAGTGATTAAAAATTATCCAACCTATTTTAACATACTTTAAATATGATTCACCCAAAATTATTAAAAAATAGACGAATATGAATAAATTAATAGGTTGTGACTCATTTTGTCACCCCTACCTACAATTAAGGAGAGTCTCCTCCTCCTCCTTTTTTTTTTATAAAAAAAAACGCAACTTCAAATTATTGAATTGTATAGAATTATTGTCTTAGAATTCAAATTAAGAAGAATTTTTATTATTATTATTCACCTGTTCAACTTTGCCATCACGTTGGACATGGTTATTAAACAAAAAAGTAGCTAAGAACCTCCCAACCCATTAATAGAATGAACCTCAAAGTCAGAACCTGAAAACTCTTGTTTGATGGGACACCAGACAAATAAATTGATGTTTATAATTAAAAATGATATGAAAAAATAACCCTAGCCTATCTTGACTTAACGAAAAAGGTAATTAAATATTGACTGGCCAACAGATTTCCCTAACTCTCAGACGTTAATATCTCGTTATCAATGATAACCATTTCTATTAGATAAGAATGATGACAAATTGTATCTAGGATAGGATTTGTCATGGGGTAAGTTCAAATCTTATCAAGGATAAGATTTCCACGAGATAGGCTCCATGGGCTAAGGACGATGAAATTCCCTTATCAAGAATAAGGGAAGTGACTATAAATACAAAGACGACTCGGGAACAAGGTACACAAAAAAAAAACTCCTACTAAGCGAATTACGATTAAAATTCTCTATCGAGAACCCTTACTAACTTGATCGTCGGAGGGTCAACGGCCGGCACCACACCGGTGTTTGACTTTGCCATCCTTGTTTTGCAGGAAACGGTGTCGTACTAGACCGCAGCGAATTTCAACCTCAACAGTTGGCGCCGTCTGTGGGAACGACGATTCCCTTGAATCGATTTATTACTCGTTGGGTATAGACGTTTGCTGTCCGGTATGGTTACCGAAGGAACACCGTCGTAGGGATCTGGTCAAAGGGAAGAGTCGGGTGAAAACCTAGACGTCCCAAATGACCAAACACGGTTTGCAACGTTGGAACTGCAGGTCCAAACTCTGAATCAGGGTATGGACCAGTTGATCCAACAAAATGCAGCACTCCTGCAACACCTTGTTCCACCGGTTCAATAAAGCTTGCCACGCCAAGACCTCTCGAATCCAAACAGGGGTAATGGGAATCTGGAAGAGCAGGATACTCATCCTCCCCGACATGAGATCGAAGGTGAACAAAGCCAGGTGAGAAACTGACATAGAGAGGTGATCCACCCCTCTCTTCCACGGAGTTCCCGACCCCATGAAGACACGACTGTCATTGAAAAGACCGAGGAGATTTCCCACGTTGACCTAGAGATGCAGGATCTCAAGGCAAAGATGGAGGGTGTGATGCAGGCCATGAAGGGAAAAGGCATTACAGCCATAGATGGTTTGGTACAGAAGACCAATTTGCCGTTCAGCCCCTCGGTTGTGAAATGCCCTTTGCCAAGCAAATTTAGAATGCCCACAATTGAGAGTTTTGACGGAACTAAAGATCCCCTCTGTAATACCCCTAATTTTAAAAGAATAATCTCGGTATTTATTTATTTGTTTTAATTATATTTTTAATTATTTAATTGATTATTTGACTAATTGCTTATGTGTTTAATTGAATTAGGTATTACTTAATTATTTGATTATGTGTCTATGTATTATTTGTATTTGTCTATGTGTTAATTGTTTAATTAGGTTATGTGCTTAAATGGTATTTTGATTAATTCTAAATTAAATGTTTTCTTTTCTTTTATTATTTTATTTTATTTTTCTTTTATGGTTATGGTTAGTAGTAATAGGTCAACTAATTGGGTCCCATTGACTACTTGGATAGGAGATTGAATGTGTATGGATTATTACCCATAGATAGTTGTGTATGTATATATATAGATATATATTATATACATATATAAAAAGAAAAGTAATTTATTAAGTACTTTTATGGTAACTTGGGTAGTAATATTTAATCTGATGTATATGTTTTATACTTAAATAATAAAAATATACATAGATTTGAGACGTGTTATGTTTTAACTTACATTATAATATTATGGTAACTTAAGTATTATTGGATAATCCATTAATAAATAATGGAATGTGTATAATTTATTTATTTAATAAACATATACATAAATTATATACGTAACATATTTTACTTACCATTTTAATATATATATAAAAGGGAAAGTAATTTATTAATTACTTATATGGTAACTTGGGTAGTAATATTTAATCTGATGTATATGTTTTATATTTAAATAATAAAAATATACATAGATTTGATACGTGTTATGTTTTAAGTTACTTTATAATATTATGGTAACTTAAGTATTATTGGATAATTCATTAATAAATAATGGGATGTGTATAATTTATTTATTTAATAAACATATACATAAATTATATACGTAATATATTTTACTTACCTTTTTAATATTTTTTTTTTAAGTTGACTTGGATTGGAAAAAGGGTTAGGGTTATTTTATTTAGCCTATAAATATATAGCTATAGGTTGTAAAAGGGGGCTAGAAATATTCATGTGATATATTCTAGAGAGAGAGAGAGAGAGAGTTAGAGAGGGAATGAGGAAAAAAACCCTGTAGAGAGAAAATTAAGGAAGAAGAAGTTTAACTTTCGATCCGAAAGTTTAAGGCAAGTTCTTCTTCTATCTCTTTCCCTTTAATTCGTATTTCTGTACATGCCTAGGAAATTTCAGGATTTATTAAACACATAAAATTAAATAATTATGCATGTTTAATTGGGTTAGAACATAGGTTTTATGAAATTGGTTCATATCTGTTCTTGTGTTATGAATTGATAAAATGCATTATTTTGATTTGATTTCTTATGTGAATTTTTACATGTTTAAATTATGTATTTTTTATATCTGTGGAATGATGGAACGTAGAAACATGCCTAGGATTCCTGAATATTAAATAGGGACTAGGTTTGGGTTTTAATAAATTTAAATAGACTCAATCATAATGATGCTTGCTATTTAAATGTTTTAAACAAACGAATGGATTTAATCTTTTAAAATGTTTTAGCAATTGAGATTAAATGTGTAGGATGAATTGGATATAGAGAATTCTTGTTTAACGGTATAATAAAATATCATCATGTATAAGATTCAATTTGTGTAGGACATATGATATAGGAAGTTTAAAGAAATAATAAGTCATTCCTATTATGTGATAACTTGATATCATATTTATCATAGTTATTTATGGAATGTTTGATGTATTTCCTTAATTGTTACATCAATTGTTGGATTATGTGGTTTAATGCACCGGTATGGGATGGTGACATTCTAGGGATGGATTAACTTATCAGTTAAGTCCTACCTATTTTATATAAGGGAATGGATTAACTAAAATGTTAAGTCCTACTTATATTTAAGTCAGGTCAGCTGAACAAGTTGAATGACTTATGGAGGATTAATTTATTATATAAGGGAATGGATTAACTAAAATGTTAAGTCCTACTTATATTCAAGTCAGGTCAGCTGAACAAGTTGAATGACTTATGGATGATTAATTTATACTGGATAAGATGGTTACTAGATTATATATATATAAGTATGGTGTCATGATATGAGCTTGAGTCTCAGGATCAATGGTTAGGGCGCATATATCGCCAGGAATGTGTAGCTAGATATAGTGTAGTTGTGTACCCTGGTAGGTCTAGGTACTCATGCCCACTATATGTGCGTTTTGCATGTTGCCTACTATTCAGGTTGAGACAACCCTATAGTCTAGTGAGGTCCCTTTAGTGTGTGTATATATATATATACGGACTACTAGTTACTGTTGGATTAACTAGGATGTATACGTGTATCAGATCTCTGTTTGGACTGTAGTAGAGTAGAACTTGTTTGTGGGCCTGACTCACCATTATTTTTCAGGTGTTCGTCACGAGTAGAGGTTGTTCGTGCTGAGCGGGGATCAGTCTACTTCATTCTTCCGATGCTACATAGGAGTTCCTTTATGATTCAGTTTCCTGTTTTAGATTACTGTCATTTGTTTAGTTTGGATTTTCTAGGGGTCCACACAGTATGGATTCCCGAGTTGTATTTTGGAGGATCAGTTGTATCAGAAGAGTTTATTAATTAATGGAAATATATCATGAGATTTATTATTAGATTATTATTTTAGTTTCTTGTCAGCATTTTATTTATTCTTCTTTATTCTTTTGTACTCTATGTTCGTTTATTATCAATTTGTTTTGATATCCTCGGGTATTCGAGCGTGGGCCTGGCCAACCCGCATTCGAAAATCCGGGGGTATCACACCCCCGACCACTTGGAGACTTTTCAGGCGTTTATGCACCTACACGCGATGCCGGATGAGATCATGTGAAGGGCTTACCCAACGACTCTCAAAGGATCAGCACGGGTATGGTTCAACAAACTAAAGCCAGGAACCATCGAAACCTTTGAAGAATTGAGTAAGGGCTTTGTGGGCCATTTCATTGCTGGCCAGAGGCATATAAGGCCGGCTACCCACCTCCTTACTGTGAAGCAACAGAAGGGAGAGTCACTGCGAGATTACATTAGTCGTTTTAACACGGAGATGTTACAGGTGGAGGAAGCGGATGACAAGGTGGCCCTAGCCGCCTTCATGGGAAGACTCCAAACCTCAAGATTCCTCTTCTCTTTATCAGAGGAACCTCCTACCAACATGGTCGAGTTATTGGTTCGAGCTAAAAAACATAAGAATGTTGAAGATGCAATGATTGCGAGCAAGGGAAAAGAAGGGGAGGATAAGAAGTCAAACAAGAAAAGGCCGGCCCTGATGATCAGAGATGAAAAGGAAACCAAGTATAAGAAACCCATGGTCAACCAGAATGAAAGGGCGTCTCGCTATAAGAACGCAGAGAGGTATACAAATTACACTCCTTTAAATATGCCGATAGATCAAGTTTTCTTGCAGATCCAGGATGAGCCATATCTGAAGTGGCCACCGAAGTTGAAGTCAGATCCGGCAAGGAGACCTCGTGATAAGTATTGTAGGTTCCATAAAGACCATGGGCATGCTACAGAGGATTGCTTCGACCTTAAGGATCAGATTGAGACTCTGATCCGAAGGGGGCACATGCGAAAGTTTATTGTGGGGAATGACAGAACCGACATTAACCCACTAAGAGCAGGCCGAGACAACCGCCCTCCTAATCAACAACTAATAGGAGAGATCAGGGTCATAGCCGGGGGGTGTGCAGGAAGTGGAGAATCGAGCTCAGCCTGTAAGGCCTATGCCAGGAGAATGCGAAGCTCATCTGAGGTGTGCAAAGTAGGAGTACAGATTCAACATCGAAAGATGCCTCGTTTAGGTGATCCAGTTATTACATTCTCAGATGAAGACATGAAGGATGTGCAGCAACCTCATGACGACCCTCTTGTCGTTACCATGATGATCGCTAACTATAATACTTGGCAAATCTTGGTAGATAATGGAAGTTCAGCTGATATCATTTTTCTTAATGCATTCAGCAAGATGAAGATTGGTAAGGAGAAACTCAGACCTACTAGATCACCATTGGTGGGATTCACGGGAAACAAGGTCTATCCTCTAGGAGCGGTCATCCTTCCTATCACTGCAAGAACCAGCCCAAAACAAGTCACTGTCATGGTAGACTTCCTGGTGGTGGATTGTCCATCTGCTTACAATGTCATCCTAGGAAGAGCGACCTTAAATTCGATGAAGGCCATCACTTAGACTTATCACCTATTAATGCGCTTCCCTACCGAGCATGGCGTAGGCGAACTAAAAAGAGATCAGTCCATTGCCAGATAATGCTATGTTGCCTCTCTCAAAGAAAAGAGGCAGCAGGAGGCTTTGATTGTCGATGAAGTTGAAGAGAAGGAGCAAGACCGGGCTAAGCCAATCGAGGACTTGGTGGAGATATGCTTGAATGACACTTACATAACAAAAAATGTGAGGATAGGGTCTCTGTTCCCCTCAGATTTCACAAATATTCTTATACAGTTCCTCAGACATAATCAAGATGTATTCGCTTGGTCACATGAAGACATGCCCGGTATTAATCCAACTACGATTGAGCATCGATTAAACACAGATCCTACATTCAAACCTATCACGCAAAAATAAAGAACATTTGCCGCGGAAAGGAACATGGCTATATCAGAAAAGGTGAATAAGCTTATGAAAGCTGATTTCATCCAAGAGGTTCATTATCTCGACTGGTTGGCCAATGTTGTTTTGGTAAAAAAGGCCAATGGAAAATGGAGGTTGTGCGTAGACTTTACCGATTTAAATAAGGCGTGCCCCAAAGACAGTTTCCTTCTGCCAAGAATTGATATGTTGGTAGAAGGGACAGCTGGCCATAAGCTGCTCAGTTTTATGGATGCATACTCAGGGTATAACCAAATCTCAATGCACACACCAAACAGAGATAAGACCACTTTCATCACGGACAGAGGTTTATATTGCTATAAGGTGATGCCTTTTGGGTTAAAAAATGCTGGTGCAACATATCAGCGACTAGTAAACCTGATGTTTAAGGACCAAATCGGAAGGAATATGGAAGTGTATGTGGATGACATGCTCGTAAAAAGCTTGAAAGCTCAAGACCATCTGGTTGATCTACAAGAAACGTTCCAAGTCCTCAGGAAACACCAGATGAAGCTCAACCCAAGTAAATGTGCCTTCGGAGTCTCCTCTGGGAAATTCCTCGGTTACATGGTAAGTAGAAAAGGGATAGAAGCTAACCCTGAGAAGGTCCAGGAGATTCTCAACATGCAGTCTCCAACATCGACCAAAGAACTTCAAAGATTGACAAGAAGGATCACAGCTCTAAACAGGTTGATTTCCAGGGCGACCGATAGATGTTTGCCTTTTTTTTCGTGTGCTCAGGAAAGTTTTTTCATGGACCCCTGAGTGCGAGTAAGCTTTTACAGAGCTAAAGGAGTATCTCACTTCACCACCATTATTGTCGCGGACGATGCAAGGAGAACAGTTGTATTTGTACTTGGCAGTTTCTCCGTCAGCAGTAAGCTCAGCCTTGGTCCGCGAAGAGGATGGAAACCAGAAACCAGTACATTATACTAGCCGTGCATTCAGGGGGGGCGGAAGAAAGGTACCCAAGGATAGAAAAGTTGGCATTTGCTCTAGTTATCTCCGCGAGGAAACTCAGGCCTTACTTCCAAGCTCATACAATAATAGTATTGATGGACCAACCACTTAGGCAGGTTCTCCGCAAACCTGATACTTCAAGGCGACTCATGAAGTGGTCGGTAGAACTTGGAGAGTTCGATATCCAATACAAACCCCGAACGACCTTAAAAGCCCAGGTACTGGCAAATGTTATAGCGGAATTCACACCAGAAGATGGGCCCGAGCATGCTGCAAATGAACAGGAAGAAGCCGAATCGACGTTATATGTGGATGGGTCCGTCAACGCCTGTGCAAGTGGGGCAGGGCTAGTAATTATCTCCTCAAATGGGGAATGCATCAAATATGCACTCAGGTTTAGTTTTAAAGCAACCAACAATGAGGCAGAGTATGAAGCCCTCTTAGCAGGCCTCAGGATGACCAAAGCTTTAGAAGTTGAACGACTAATAGCATATACTGATTCTCAACTAATTTGAGGAAGGATGTGATGACTGAGACTCATCACTCTGAGTTCTCTGTTCATCCAGGAGGCGATAAGATGTATCAAGATATGAAGCGGCAGTTTTGGTGGGCAGGTATGAAGAGGGACATTGCCCTTTTTGTTTCTCAATGTAGTACTTGTCAGATGGTTAAGATTGATCATCAGAGGCCGCCAGGAGCTCTACAACCACTACCAATTTCGGAGTGGAAATGGGAGAGCATATCTATGGATTTTGTGGAAGAGTTGCCAAATTCTTTCAAGGGGCATAATTCCATATGGGTCATTGTGAATAGGTTGACCAAGTCAGCTCATTTCTTGCCTATTTGCACTGACTACACTTCGGAGCAGTTGGCGAGGCTTTACATTTCAGAGATTGTGAAGCTACATGGCATTCCATTGTCTATTATATCGGACAGGGATTCGAGCTTTGTATCTGGATTTTGGAAGAGTTTTCAGCAGGCTTTAGGTACGGAGTTACACCTTAGTACTGCTTATCATCCTCAGACTGACGGACAGACTGAGAGGGTGAATCAGATTATGGAAGATATGCTTCGGTCGTGTGTTCTGGATTTCAAGGGCTACTGGGAGGAATATTTGCCACTTGCGGAGTTTGCTTATAACAATAGTTTCCAGAAGACTATTGGTATGGCACCACTTGAGGCATTATACGGTCGATTGTGTCGGTCACCTGTTTGTTGGATGGAGGTTGGAGAGAATCGATTCTTAGGTCCTGAGTTCATCAAGGATACCTCTGAAAAGATTGCTCTTATTCGAGATCGCATGCGTACTGCCCAAAGTAGGCAGAAGAGCTATGCTGATCGTCATACTCGGGCTTTGGAGTTTCAGGTTGGGGATCAAGTTCTACTCAAAGTGTCTCCTATGAAGGGTGTTATACGCTTTGGGAAGAAAGGGAAGTTGTCACCGCGATTTGTTGGTCCATTCATGATTACGGATCGCATTGGAGCTGTTGCTTATCGGTTGGCACTTCCAGATACTTTGGATCGCGTCCACAACGTGTTTCATGTTTCTATGTTGCGGAAATTTCTTCGAGATGAGAATCGATATCAGCATATCGATGTTGGGGAGATTGCGTTGCAGCCGGATGCAACTTATTTAGAGCCACTGTGTCGTATTGTCGACCGACGAGATCAGATTCTTCGTAATAAGGTTATTCCTTTGGTTCGTGTTCAGTTGAGTCATCACAATGAGTCTGAGTCCACTTGGGAACGAGAGGATGTCATTCGCTCACGGTTTCCTGAAATATTGGAAGAAGGTAAGAGTGAATTCCGAGGACGGAATTCCTTTTGTTAGGGGGGAAGAATGTAATACCCCTAATTTTAAAAAGGATATTCCTGGTATTTAATGGTATTTAATTTATTATTTAAGTGCATTTTATTTGATTATGTGTCATTATTTTTTTTATTAGGTGCTTAATTGTTTTCTTTTGTGGTGATTTAATTTATTTAAATGAAATTTATTTTTAGTTATTTGATTGGAATTACTTGTTAGTGTTTTAATTATTTAATTGGCATTAATAGTTTAAGTGTAATTGGTTTAATTATTCTATGTGTGTCTTATTTTATGTGTGTCTTATTTAGTTTAATTGGGTTTAATAATTATTACAGTTGTTCTATCTTCCGTTTGGATGTTTAATAGGGGTCCACTAGAGATGGATTCCCAAGTTGTAAACTGATGGAGTTTTGGAGTTTGGGTTTGATGGATTTTAATAATTATAATATTTTGCGGATTCTATTTTTAGTTCCTTCCAGCTTTAATTTCATTTCTTAATTTATTTTGTATTCCGTGTTCATTATAAAATATTAATTGTTTAATATTCCCTCGGGTTTGGGCCTGGGCCTGATCAACTCGTGTCTCGAATCCGAGGGGTATCTCACATTGAGAACGAAGAGCTACCCTAGGACCGCATGGAAGCACGAAAGATCAGGATGCATGCGGCAAAATATTCCCTCATTGATGGGGTTCTCTACAAAAAGGGATTTTCTCTACCCTACTTGCATTGTGTCTCCATTGATGAGGCAAATTACATTCTAAAAGACATACATGAAGGCCTTTGTGGAAATCATGCTGGGGGCAGATCACTAGCGCATAAAGCTATCCGACAAGGATACTTTTGGCCTACTATGAGGACAGATGCACTTGAGTTTGTGAAGAAATGTGACAAATGTCAGAGATTCGCCAATGTCCCAAAACAACCAGCAGAAAAGTTAACCCCTCTTACAGGGCCGTGGCCTTTTGCCCAATGGGGGATGGACCTCATCGGTCCCTTACCCCAAGGGAAAGGACAAACTAAATACGCAATTGTGGCTATCGATTATTTCACCAAATGGGTAGAAGCTGAGCCATTAGCTCATATTGGAGCGAATGAAGTAAAAAAGTTTTTCTGAAAGACAATAATCTGCAGGTTCGGAGCACCAAGGGTAATTGTGACCGATAATGGGAAGCAGTTTGAAAGTGAGCAGTTCCTCAATTTTTGTAATGAACTTGGGATCAAAGTTCATTTCTCCTCTCCTGCCCATCCCCAAGCCAATGGGCAAGTTGAGGTCACGAATAGGATAATATTGAAGATGATCAAGACACGCTTAGAAAAGGCCAAGGGCTTGTGGCCTGAACAATTACCCGGAGTTTTATGGGCCTATCGCACTACCGTAAAAACCCCCACTGGGGAGACCCCTTTTGGGTTAACTTTTGAAAGTGAAGCTGTGATCCCGATAGAAACAAAGGTTGCTACCTTCAGAACTAAGCATTTTGAACCTCAACAGAACGGGGTGGAACTACAATTAAACCTAGACCTAGTAGAAGAGAAAAGGGAGCAGGCCCAGGTCAAGGTTGCAGCTTACCAGCGGATGATATCCAAGTACTACAATGCCTGGGTTAAGCCAAGGAGGTTCGAGCCAGGAAACCTGGTGTTTCGTGAGGTTACCCCGGCTACTAAGGAAAAGGGGGAAGGAAAGTTAGCTCCTAATTGGGAGGGCCCTTATCGAGTAACCCAGAGCAACAGACCGGGGGCATACTGGTTAAAGTCACTTGGTAGGAGCCAGCTTCCCCACCCGTGGAATACAGAACATTTGAGGAAATATTAACA